ATGAGAAGGATGCCTGGAGTCTCACCTGTGAAGCCCAAGTCACTGCTGACTTTGGACCTGTGACGTATAAATGGAAAACAGGTGACACAGAGTTGTCCACCGACAAGGAGCTGCTGATAACAATGGTATGAGGATGAGAAACCCTGGAAGAACTCAGTAGAACCTTCATAGTTTGGTTTAGAGCTGTTTTCTATTTATTTCTCAGGAAAATAAGGAAAGCTCCTTTTTCTGTGAGTTGGTAAACCCTGTCAGCAGCAGCTCCAGTGAAACAGTGGAAAACCCCTTTATCAGAGGTGAGAGGAAAACATTTCCATCTATTCTTTACTCTTTTCCACCTTCAAAGATCATACTAACAACAAATTCATAATGGGATTATCAGTACTGTTAAAAAAATATTCACCTCCTAATATTTTGAATCAGCAAAGCAGCCCACACCACCACACTACCACCACCATGTTTGATTGTCAGCATGATAGTCTGTGTCTGAAATGCTGATGTAAAATGATGCTCATCTTCTTAAGAGGTCAACTTTGTCTCTTCAGTCCATAGAAACCTTTTTCCACAGTTTTAGATAATTTATAGTAAATGTGTAAGGGGTCCATGGAGGCCATTTGAGTTAAGTTAATGTGTTATTTTTTAGATCATGACCTCTGACCTTGTTTTAACTACAGTTAAACCCACAGAGGTTTAAATTGTGTCCCCCAACCCTTTATGCACCACAGACCGGTCTAAAGTCAGGCAAAACTTTCACAAACAGGTCTGTAACTGTAGAACTCCATGGTTGCTATGGTAACATCAAACATACATTTAAATAAGCCACCACAAAAAAAACAAAGTGCTTGGAAACAGCCTGATAACTACTCACAATAGCAGTCAATCAGTGGGAGCTCTGAGCTTTTTGTTACAACACCAAAGTTGGATTTTACAGCAGGACGTATCATATGACTTACAGTGTTTTGGGCGTCATACATCAATAGAGAGTCATAGATTGAAATAACAGAGTGAATCCTGTCATTTTTAAAATTAAAACACCATTTGGACTTGAAAAGTAAATCTGTCTGAATGAATGAAAGTTATTTATACTTTTTGTGTGGCCCCGTACCACATGACACACGGACCGGTACAGTGCCGGGGCCCAGTCCCAAGGGTTTGGGATCATTGGTTTAGATGATGTTCGGGGGTTTCTCTGTTACCTCCTGGATGATCCATTGATTCTCTCTTGGAAAAACTCTGGTTGTTTGGCCTCTAATCTAAAGGTTCTCCACTGTTCCATCTGTTTTCTATCTGTGGACGTCTCGAACTGTGTCTCTCTGAGACAAAAAGCTAGAAATGTCTTTGGTACCATTTCCACACAGATACATGTCGATGTCTTGGCTTCTCATCTGTTTCCCCATTTATTTTTAGTGGGTCATTAGCGGGCCATTCCTACACATCGCTATGCTTAGATCTAAGGCTGTCACATTTTGGTTGGTTTGAGGACCTAAATACAGAGGCAGAGAGGCTGAGGAGATTTCTTGCAGTTTAATTAATGAAAACAGTCAACAAAGGCAGGAATCCAAAAATCCAACTTAAAATGTAAAGCAAACCAGAACCATGGAGACATCAGGGGAAACCGAACACGAGGAGCCAGGGAGAGACAAGGTAGGAAGAAAACAGCATTCAGAAATCAGCAACGGCAAGGAACCAACAAGGAGGAGAGTATAAATAGCTGACTGAGGCAAAGGCAGGGCTAACAAGCGGATAAGGAGCAGGTGTGACTGGAGACAACTAGGAAGCCAAGGGGAAAGAAACACACACAAGAGGGCAACAGAGGACAAAAACAGAAAAACCAGAGAACTAACATAAATCTAGAAACTACAACAAAATATGAATTAAACCAATAAAACTAGAAAACATGGAGCAAAGTAAAGCACAACAGAACCAAGACCATGACAAAGGCATTAAGATCTTAGGCACGTTTGAGGTTATCTTCCTGTTTAAAGGTGAATATCCAGCTCAGTGTCAAAGTATATGAAGTCTGAAATGTTTACACCTTCTGATCAGCCTCCCTGTTCCTGCTAAGGTGAAGCTTCCACTGAGCATGATGCTGCCACCACTGTGGTTTAAAAGTCATAGACTTTGAACAGTTTCTAGCTTTAATGAATAACTTTTTTATTTCATGGAATCCAGGGTCAACAGTCGCTGCAGCGGTTGTGATTGCTGTCCTGATTGTAGCTGGGATTGGAGTTGCTTCCTTTTTTATGTACAAAAAAGGTGAGGCTGCTCAAAAAACATCACAAGTTTTCTATTAACCTTTGAGTCTTTGAGACAAAGTGTTTCTGTCTGGAAGTGTGGTGGTTTGTTAAGGGACCCAAATGCAGAGACAGAGGCTGCTGAATTATTAATCCAGTAGTAAAGAGGCAATCAGCACAGTAACCAGAACAGGGAGTCACATGAGAGCATTTTACAGGAGGTAATGAAGACTAACCCGCAATGAGCAACTGCAGAGGAGGAGTATGGTCCAGCCCCAATACCCACACTAAACCCTAAGCCCTCTATGAAGTTTGCACACAAAGGAAGTTGACAAAAAGGGTGCAAAATCTGGAGGATCGGAATAATAATTGTGCCCCACCTTACAGCACAGACATAAAAAATGAGAGAACCAAAACCTTTTGCAATGTTACTGCTAAAGGTGATTTTAAAAATTACATTTTGATAATTAAAGCTGAAAATGAGTGTTTTATTCAGCACTTTTTAACCCAATTTGTCCAATAAATAAGTAAAATTCAGACAAAAGTATTAGCTG